CCTCAGCATGTAGAGGGAGACCAGACAGGAGAGATATCGCAGCAGGTGGAGGATGATGTGACTCCACTCACTCCAGAGAGCACTGTATCCATTGAGGCTCCTACAGAGGTGACACTGGGAGGAGATGGGATGACAACCGGGCAGATAGATGATACAGTGGATTATGGGACTCATGAACAGGGTCATGTTCAGGGGTCCATTTGCAGCAGATAGACCGATGAGAGAGATTCGTCGGCCAGCTAGGTATAATGATGTCATGGTCACATATGCATTATCAGTAGAGATTGTTGATGATATGGTTCCATCCATATTCAGGGAGGCAGAGTCTAGCCCCGATTCGATCAGATGGAGGGAAGCTATGGAGGAGGAGACGCGGTCTCTTCAGAAGAACGATACTTGGACACTTGCACATCTACCTAAGGGTAAGAAGGCTATTGGTTGCAAGTGGGTATATGCGAAGAAGGAGGGATCTTCTATTGGGGACATAAGGTTCAAAGCCAGATTGGTTGCCAAGGAATATGTACTGCTTGAGGGTATTGATTACAACGAGGTATTTTTAACCGTTGTGAAACATTCGTCTATACGGATTTTATTAGCGTTGGTGGCACAGTTGGATTTGGATTTGGTCCAGATGGATATGAAGACAGCCTTTCTACACGGTGATTTAGATGAGGAGATCTACATGACACAACCCCAGGATTTCAAAACTGCAGGAAAGGAAGATTCGGTTTGTAAGCTGAAGAAGTCTCTTTATGGTTTGAAGCAGTCACCAAGACAGTGGTATAAGAGATTCGACGGTTTTATGATTGGCCGAGGGTACACGATGAGCCCATATGACCCATGTGTTTATATGCACAAGCTACATGATGGTGAGCACATATATTTGCTTTTATATGTTGACGATATGCTTATTGCTTTCAGGAATTCTTCGGCTATTCAAAAGTTGAAAGATGAGCTGTCATCCGAGTTTGAGATGAAGGATCTTGGAGAGGCAAAGAAGATATTGGGTATGGAGATCGAGAGAGACAGGGTGAAAGGGAGTTTGAAACTTACACAGAAGATGCTGAAGAAATTCAGCTTTGACGGCAATGCAAAAGCAGTTAGCACACTATTGGCTCCCCACTTCAAGCTTTCAGCGTTGATGTCACCTGTTTCAGTTGAGGACAGAAATTATATGTCAAAGGTCCCATATGACAGTGCAGTAGGTAGCTTGATGTATGTTATGGTGTGTACGAGGCCAGATTAGTCACAGGCCGTGAGCATGGTATCGAGATACATGCACGACCCCGGGAAGGGTCATTGGGAGGCCGTGAAGTGGATTCTACGGTATGTTCGAGGCACCGTGGATGTTGGTTTAGTATTCCAGAAGGATGAAAAGAATGGACAGGATTGTATTGGATATGTGGATTCAGATTATGCTGGAGATCTTAACAAACGCCGATCTACTTCAGGTTATGCTTTTACATTAGCAGGTGTACCTGTATGTTGGCGATGCACGCTTCGGTCCACAGTGGCTTTCTCTACTACAGAGGCAGAGTATATGGCAGTAACTGAAGCTATTAAGGAGGCTTTATGGTTGCGTGGATTATTGGAGGACTTGGGGATCGCTCAGGAGACTATTCGGGTATATTGTGATAGCATGTCGGCTATCTATTTGGTGAAGAACCAGGTTTATCATGCGCGCACGAAGCACATCGATGTCAGATTCCACTTTGTACGTGACATGTTGGATGATGGAGACGTCATATTAGAGAAGGTCCACACAAATGACAACCATGCAGATATGTTGACGAAAGTTGTTTCAGGAGTGAAATTTGGTCATTGTTTGAAGCTTTTAAACATCCTTCAGTGCTGAGGCCTTTGGAGGACATTTGGGTGAACTACGTTCGGCTTGATTCCTTGGGCAAGAGGATACGTAGGCAGTCTTTCAGATGCAGCCGGTTTGATCAGTTGATTCAGATGGGGGGGATCGCGTTTCAGCTCTAGATTGGTTCCCTGACTTGTTGAGGGACTATTGGATGATTTGATGTCGGCTTAGTTTTGGTGGGAACATTCGCTGAGGTGGAGAATTGAAGAATTACAAGAAACAGGAAGGAACCAGCCAGACAGACTGGCGGTCGACCGCCAACGTGCACGCAGGCCTACTGGGTTTCGGAGATGAAGGCGGTCGACCGCCGCGGTCGACCGTGGATGACTGTAATGGATTTATGCTCTCGGGTTTGTGGTTCGGTCGACCGCCGCGGTCGACCGTCGATGATTTCTGGGCTAAGCTTCGGTTTTTGACCCGATTTGTTTCTAAGTTATATATACCCTAAACCTCTTTTGTTAGGGTTAAGCAAGGACGAATTTGAGCAGTCTTTGAGAGAGGATTGTTGCATCCAATTGTGGGAGAGTTGTGAGAGATCAATAGCTTTGTTTTAGGGTTTGATCGGTGAGATTTGTAACTCTACTTGTATTCTCTGATTTCTAATAGTAAGAACTCCCTCCCCCTTGCCCCGTGAACGTAGGCAACTTGCCGAACCACGTAAATTGTTTGTTCTTGCTGTGGTTGTGTTTGCATATTAGTTGTGGTTTAGTTCGAGTTATTGTTCGTGTTGCACAAGAAAAGCTTCCGCCGCGCACAACACTGGGAGATGATGAATTGGTTGAACTCGCTGCCAAAATCATTATGGGTGAAAGACATCAATGAAACAGTGTCCATCACATGAGTATAGCGCTAATGGAAATGAGCAAAACGATTTTCGTGCTTTTCTCGTCGCATTGTTAGACGATAATTAGAGAGAGACGCCTCCGCTTTAGTCTCTGAGATTGCTAGAGAAGGGAGTACAACGAAGATGAAAAAAAAAAAAAATCCTTGTCAGATAGTAAAACTCATCCCCTTTCACTTTCTATATTTTTGAATAAGTCCCTTTCCGGCCACTATCACTATTTCCATGCCCTTACAATGAAATCCCGATCCAATATCCATATTTCCATTCCCCTTAGGGTGAAATCCCCATCCAATTGTCAGCGGTGTTCTTGCATCTCTCTGCTGTGAGTGCAATATATTTCTCCGTCACCGTCTTGCTATCATGAGCACGAATGTCTTCTCACGGGTTTCCGGGGGAAGCGCGAGTCTTATTACCTTCTCCACCACTGTGACGACGTTCATCATCTTGTCCACCATTCATCTACGACCATGTGCCTGCTAACAAGTTTGAGCATGGATTCAGTGACAGCATGCCTTTGTTTAATGGTTTCTTTATTATTTCATCGTGTACGAAGTGTGACTGAAAAATGTAGATTTATAACGTGGTGATACGTACTGGATTATTACATATCGGAGTTGTGTGTTAAAATTGTTGGTTTCGTAATTGGATACTATTTTTATTTTGTTAAAGCTATGACCTATTGGTGCTTGTTCTCAAGGAGCCAAAAGCTGCCGTGGGAAATTGGAACGGTGGGATGATTATCACATATCGGAGGAGTTGGTATCCATTTTTCGTTACTATATATATACGATGGTGTGCACAAGGCCAACATACAATACGCATATGCTGTCGGGAATTTGATGTATGTGATAGTGTGCACAAGATCGGATATTGCACAAGGAGTGGGAGTTGTGAGCCGCTTCATGAGCAATCCAGGAAAACAACACTGGGGTGCGGTCAAGTGGCTTCTACGCTACTTGAGAAGCTCGTTCGACTGTTGTCTTGAGTATGACGGGATAGATTTGCAGCTAGAGGGCTGTTGTGATGCAGACTATGCAGGGGACATAGACTTAAGAAGGAGCACGAGTGGCTACATCTTCATCTTGGGTGGTGGAGTGATAAGTTGGCGATCTAAGTTACAGGATACTGTAGCTTTATCGACAATCGATGCCGAGTACGTGTCTGCAGTAAAGGCAACAAAGGAGTTGCTATAGTTGAAGGCTTTTCTTCTCGAGCTTGGAGTAAGCTTTGAGAAATATTTCATCCACTGCGACAGTCAGAGTGCTATTCACTTGTCAGAAAACGACGCATTCCATGCTCGGACCATACATGTTGACGTGAAGCACCATGCCATACGGAGATGGCAAAGCAGGAACAAGTTCAAACTTGTGAAGATTGATACGAGGTACAATCCAGCCGATATGTTGACCAAGCCAGTTCCACTCGAGAAGGTGAGGCTGTGTGCAGCCTCATATGACCTCCGTTAAGAATGTTGAGGGCCGTGCAAGACGTCAAAGATACAAGACATCCGGATGATGTAACCAAGAGTGGTGTGAAGATATGATTGATACTCAATCAAATCTTCAAGTGAGAGATTGTTAGCAGCCTCAGCCCCACCTTTTTGACAAAGAAGAGTTTGACTACCTAATTTTAGGTAAAGTTTGGAAAAAAAAGTTGTGGGCCCCACAAAGACGGGTCCCACTAATAAAATATTATTAGTGGCGGGTTCCACTAATAATATTTTATTAGTGCATAGTATTTCCCAAACACTATAAATAGGGCCTAAACTCTTAAGGAAAAACCCATCTCAGAAACAACTCCTCCCATAGAAGAGTAAGAGAGAAAACACAGAGAGAGATTGTGAGAGTTCTTGGAGTGTATCTGATCAAGAGAGGTTGTTCTCTTTGATCTATTCTTTTGGAATATAAAAGAATTTGGCGGCGTCGTTGTACCGTGGAGTAGCTCCGAAGGAGTGAACCACGTATATCTGTGAGTACTGTGATTAATTTTTGTGTCTTTATTCTGTGTATTACGTCTCCGTTCGAGGCGTTATTGTTGGTGTGTACCCTAACATAGTGTTAATTTGTTCGTGGATTATCAGGAAATAAAGTGTATTCTGAAAATGTAATTTGTGAAAAGAATCTCAGATTTATTTTCTTCATTTTTCTGTGGATCTGAGTACCAGCTACATATAAACGATAGTCCTAGAAACAAATTAAATGATAGTTCTAGAACAAAATTGAGTTTAAAATGTAATTGTAGCTTTTGTTGGAAACTCTCAGATAAACTCCTCCACATTATTACTAGATATAGAGAAAAACATTTGTTGATGCTGTGTTACGTGCTTTACGTGCTAAATCCTAGGGCACGTACTTGTCACCATAAAGTAGCTAGTCACAATATACACCATTTATACTTACATCATAATATTTACTACAGATTGTATCTGCGTACGACACATCATTTACTTATCAATTTCGAGTTCTCATCTAAATCTTGCGCAGACATGGAGTCCCTTCTCAATATTTAGAGTAAACATAATTTTGTACTTGGGAGAAATTTTATCTCTCAGCTCAAATGTGAAGAAGCGCAAGAGGACTGCTGCAATCATCTTCATCTGCCTGTAAGCAAACTCTTTTCCTAGACATATTCGAGGACCAGCCTGTAATACAACAATACCGTTGTTCACGAAAGGTCAAAGACGTTGATCACTTTCTTTCAACGAAAATTGTTTATTACCTGGAAAGCAGTAAATTTGAATGGGCTTTCTGGTGAGAAAACTCCTGCATCATTTAGCCATCTTTCGGGCCTAAAAAGCTCTGCATCATCGCCCCATATAAACTTCATCCTCCCCATTGCATAGGGCAAGTATATTACCATATCGCCTTTCCTAATGTTATATCCATCTGGTAACACATCATCATTGAAACAAATTTTGGGATCCTGCATCACAAATATTTGTATTCTGGACTTATTAAGAACTTTGCAAATTTACAACATGAATAAATAGTCTTAATTACCATTGGAACTGCAGGATAGAGTCTGAGAGTTTCTGTCAGCACGGCATGGAGATAATGCATATTTTCATGTGTTTCATCGGTTAAAGTCGATATGAATTCATTGATTGATTCACTTTTCCCCAATCCTTTAGTAACAGAGATCACTTCTTTGAAGGCCTTGGCTTCGATGGAGGGGTGTTTACATAACATATAAACAAACCATGTTAGAGTTACGGCTATAGTATCCTTTCCTGCAACTATGAAACTCAGAATGATATCTCTCAAGTATTTGGTGGTTATGTTTTGTGGGTCTTTCTCCTTCTCGTCAAGAAGTCTGGAAAGTACATCCATTTTCTTCGTCAACTGCAATTCCACTTAAAATCATTAGAAAAATGGTATTTTGATTAAAGAAAAGGAGGTTAATTGCACATGGGGCCACTGTAGTTTCATTATTTTGAGCTTTTTTTTTTTTTTTTTTTTTTTTAATGAAAGATTTTATTCATCACCAAATGTAAGAATGAATGTACATCAAGAATCTCATCATTATGTATGAAGAGCTTACTATCTGTATAGTTTCATTGTTGCACACTGACCATCTGGATTAGCTTTTTGAATCTTTTACCTTGGTGAAATTTTGGTAGATACTACCTCTGGGTGAAGCTATATAATGAGTCAAAAAGAGTGGAGAAAGTTTAACTAAGACGGTCTATCTGTAATAATAAAACTACAAGGATACTAAGTTCAAAAGGGAAAGTACAGGTGTCTCTATGAAATTAACCCTGAAAAAATGGGTACCACTGGATGCAAGTTGTAGGAAAGGAAGCACACTTTTCTTACAGCGACGTTCTGGTTTTTTGATGCTTCTATGATTTTGTAACGTATTATATTGTACAAGAACTCATTGACTTCTTCAATCCTTCGCTTGAGCTCTGCTTCAAATCCGATGTTCAAGAACTTCTTAAGCTTCCAAGAGACGTCAACAAAACGAAATGAGATAAGTGAGCTCGCTGCGTCAAAAGCCTCAAGAAACCTGGAGAATTCTTTGCTATTTCCACAAATACTGTTCAGTTCCATTCCAAATGCAACTTGGCAGATTGAGTTCATGGTAGATTTCATGAATAACTCCTGTTGGAAATTGATCTATAATTCAAGGCACACTGAAAACATGTATAATAAAAAGGGTTAATTGGACATAGACCTATGCAGTATCACTGTCTTGACCTTACTATTATAGTTTCATCGTTGCAGAAAGACCCCCTAAATTTTTTTTTTAACTCTTTTATCCTCAGTGAAATTTTGACATGTATTGCCCTTGTGTGAAATTAGTGAATTGAATCTGTTTGAAGTTAACCCAGGGGTCTATCTCTAACAATGAAACTACAGAAGTGGTCAGTTTGAAGCAGCAACACAACACGGGGTCTTTGTGCAGTTAACTATGTACTCACTTGTACGTCGATTATGCTATTGGATTTTGCAGCATCTGAGACAATAGAAGCAAGCTTAGCAGAATTTGCTTTGAACACTGTATTACTGTAGTCCCTCAGGGACCTCCTGGAGAACTCAAGACTGGCTACTTTTCTTTGATGCCGCCATTTCAGACCATCGACTGCAAATATTCCATCTCCAGTGAGATCGTTTATATTCGAATAGGTATATTTCCCCTGAAACAAAAACTCACATAAGAATCTCTAACGCTTGTGCAATTATCTACAGGTGTAATGACCTTTTTTTATCAACTCAATAACATTTTCTACACGTGATTAATTTAAATAAAAAAACAGAATTATCTGTATTGCATGGGCGGTGTACTCTCTATTGTTGGTCCTAGAATCATTTAGGAACTCCTCAGAAACTAAGCATAAATGCGTAGTAACTACTTGCCACTAAAAAAATTTTCCCCTTCCATTTTAGCTACATAGACATAGTTGACTACTATCTTCATCTAGCAGCACTGGCAATTTTTGGCAAGGAGATGAAAACTAAATGAAAAATATGCTGACTGATACCTTGCCATAGTTTTGGAAGTTGGTCTTGAGAATATACTCCACGTTGCTTGGATCGGCTGTGAATATCTCATTATGAAAGGGTGCAAGAAGCCGATAAGTCTTGTACTTGCTCGCGAGCTCTGTACAAAAATGGTGCAACCTTTTAAAGTTGAAGAGTTGATGAAATACAGTCCCCGCAACAGGATGGTACCTTCTTCTTCTCCTTCTTGATGAGAAACTCAGTGCAAATGACGAAGAAACAAGAATTAGAGCAATGGCTATTGCTATAGTGAGTATTTTTTCTATGGAAACCATCTCCTTGTGGCAAGTATATATTGTGGTAACATACTTTACAAGGATGCTATTTATAGAATTTAACACTTGAGTAATTGATTTTTGGGAACATTCAGTAAGGCGTTGTTTGGTTCATAAATTTTTTTTTGATGCATGTAATGGATTTTGAAAAATCCATACTAAAAATATTGTTTGTTTGTGTTGGATTTTAAATAGGATTCTCATGGGAAATAAAATGCAACCAAATTCTATTTGATTGCGTATGAATTTTATTGAGGATATGTGACTAAAATTATAAATCTGGATGAAATCAGCAAAATATTTTTAGAGAATTACATTCGAAGGAACTATCCCATGTGTCAGCCCTACATCCGTGACGTGAAAAATACCAAAAAAAAAACAATGTATTTGATAAAAAAAATTTAGGATTTTAAGCTTGAAGGACCTATTTTTCAATGCAAAACTCACTGGATGCATGTTATCAAATATCCCCTAAGAGAATTGTTGCTTGGAGAATACATATCGCCAGAGTTAAAATTGGAAATTGGATCCTACATAATTTCACTTGAATTGCATGGGTAAAATCTGTATTACAATGGTATCAGATTTTTTTGTTTTTGTATTAAATTTGTGGATAGTGGGATTCGAACATGGGTTCTGCTAACACCATGTTAAAATCCCTAATCATATATTACACCAAAATTTCAAAGTTGTGATGAGACCTAAGGTTTATATTTTTATATTCTACTAGATTTGAGATATTGGTTGTAATAGCCCTTCATAAATTATTAGTAGAGTCATGACCTGGTTTTAATCATATGATTTAGCGAACCTCGCTAAACTCTCACTGTCTCTATATATTGTTTTCACTATTTTTCATTCTTTTCAGTGTCTCTCTCGATCTTTCTGTCATGGATCTGTGGTTAGGTCTTTTGTGTGTCTCTAACAAGAATGGCATACGTGGACTCCTATGTCATATTATTTTCTTGAGCCAGATTTGTTTCCAGGTGGTTGTCTGTTGGATAGAGTTAATACTGAGAGGAATAGCCAATTAAGGATGGTAGAGCAATACCTGCATTTAGGTGGCTGATATCTACGTAGGTAGTAGTAGTTTTGACACATTTCCATGTTGCAAGCCATGAAGAGTGTGCAGAACTTGTGTGGCGAATGCTCCTGTGACGTTTTTTTTTTCTTGGTGGATCAAGAAATTGATTAAGTAGAGAAAAACAGATATTAGACTAACATAAAATGGAGGGAGAAGAAAAGTGAGAAGGCTGTTTAATTTGGTGCAGGGCGATGTTGTTGAGGTGTCAAAGCTGATTCGATGGGGCCATTTAATTTGGTACAGCGTACAGGAAGATGTTCATACGATGCAGACGGCAAGTAGCAACCGCATCACTAGCTAGCTAAATGTATTCCTTAACGCTCTCATTTCGATTTTTTTTTTTTTTAATATAGAAGAAGTAGCAGGTAAGGACAACATTGATCATTAAAAAGATTTAACGGGATCATAGTCTAACACCAAGTATCCCAAACCTCTACAAACAATAACGGAAGTGGATTAGAGCAGATACAAAAATATGGCCACAAGTATTACGAGCTAGCGTAATGCAATATAGGAAGATGTTATTATTGAATTTGGACTCTGACGAGGTCCTGTTAGGACCGCAACGAAATCAGAATACATAAATTCAAAAGGGAAAAAAGAACCAGATAAAAGTTGGCTGCAGTCAATAACTAGGATTTTATCTCATCAAAAGCTACTTCTCACATCTAGAAAAGAGTCTTCTATAAACTTAAAAAAGAAATAAAAAAAATAAAAATAATATTTTTATTAAAAATATAAAATTACCTAAAACTAGAAAATATCTTTCTAAGTGGATTTTAGATCCCTCATATCAAATTTCAGCTAAAAACGGACGTCAATTACCCCTCAGAATCTAACGATTAGAACCTATCCAAAAAGAAAATCAAATCTTTAATCGCCATTTTTTATAGGATATTTTTAAGTCCTGCAAGCACATCACAATCGAATAATTAATTATTGGAAGCTACATAGTTTAAAATAATAATAGTTCAAAAAATAATATATTCCTAACTTCGTAGAAGGCTAAATATATATGCAACTAGGACAGTTACCAAACAATTGTTGTGCGCGGCGGAAGCTTTCTCGGGCAACACAAACAATAACTCGAACTAAAACACAAACAATATGCAAACCACAACCACAGCAAGAACACACAATTTACGTGGTTCGGCAATTTGCCTACGTCCACGGGGCAAGGAGGGGGGAGATTTTACTACTAGAAATCATGGGAATACAAATAGGGTTACAAATCTCTCAGACCAAACCCTAAAACAAAGCACTTGATCTCTCAAAGCTCTCCCACAATTGGATGCAACAAATTTTTCTTAGAGGCTGCTCAAAATCATCCTTAAGATACCCTAACAAATCAGGTTTAGGGTATATATAGATTACAAAACGAAACGGGTCAAAAAAACTGAAGCCCAGCCCAAATTTCTGGGTTGTTTCTTCAGCTGTTTACTAATTCTTCAATTCTTCACCTCGGCGAATGTTTCCACCAAAACTGAGCCGACACTGAATCATCCAATAGTTCCTCAACAAGTCCGGGAACAAAACTCGAGCTGAAACGCGATCTCCCCCCATCTGAATCAACTGATCAAACCGGCTGCATCTGAAAGACTGCCTACGTATCCTCTTGTCCAAGGAATCAAGCCGAACGTAGTTCACCCAAATGGCCTCCAAAGGCCTCAGCACTGAAGGATGTTCAAAAGCTTCAAACAATGACCAAATTTTACTCCTGAAACAACTTTGGTCAACATATCTGCAGGGTTGTCATTTTTGTGGACCTTTTCCAATATGACATCTCCATTATTCAAGACGTCTCGTACAAAGTGGAATCTGACGTCGATGTGCTTAGTGCGCGCATGATAAACCTGGTTCTTCGCCAAATAGATAGCCGACATGCTATCACAATATATCCGAATAGTCTCCTGAGCAATCCCCAAGTCCTCCAATAATCCACGCAACCATAAAGCCTCCTTAATTGCTTCAGTAACCGCCATATACTCTGCCTCTGTAGTAGAGAGAGCCACTGTAGACTGAAGCGTGCAACGCCAACATAAAGTGCACCTGCCAATGTAAAAGCATAACCTGACGTAGACCGGCGTTTGTCAAGATCTCCAGCATAATCTGAATCCACATATCTGATACAATCCTGCTCATCCTTCTGAAATACTAAACCAACATCCACGGTGCCTCGAACATACCGTAGAATCCACTTCACGGCCTCCCAGTGACCCTTCCCGGGGTCGTGCATGTATCTCGATACCATGCTCACGGCCTGTGATAATCTGGCCTCGTACACACCATCGCATACATCAAGCTACCTACTGCACTGGCATATGGGACCTTCGACATATAATCTCTGTCCTCAACTAAAACATGTGACATCAACGCTGAAAGCTTAAAGTGGGGAGCCAATGGTGTGTTAACTGCTTTTGCATTTCCATCTAAGCTAAATTTCTTCAACATTTTCTGCAAGTAGCTCTTTTGTGTAAGCTTCAAACTCTCACTCACCCTGTCTCTCTCGATCTCCATACCCAATATCTTCTTTGCCTCTCCAAGATCCTTCATCTCAAACTCGGATGATAACTCCTTTTTCAGCTTTCGAATGGCCGAAGAATTCCTAGAAGCAATAAGCATATCGTCAACATATAAAAGCAAATATATGAGCTCACCATCCTGTAGCTTGTGCATATAAACACATGGGTCATATGGGCTCCTCGTGTACCCTCGGCCAATCATAAAGCCGTCGAATCTCTTATACCACTGTCTTGGTGACTGCTTCAAACCATAAAGAGACTTCTTCAGCTTACAAACCAAATTTTCCTTTCCTGCAGCTTTGAAACCCTGTGGTTGTGTCATGTAGATCTCCTCATCTAAATCACCGTGTAGAAAGGCTGTCTTCACATCCATCTGGACCAAATCCAAATCCAACTGTGCCACCAACGCCAATAAAATCCGAATCGACGAATGCTTCACAACGGGCATAGCTTCCCTCCACCTGATCGAATTGGGGCTAGAATCTGCCTCCCTGAATGTGGATGGAACCATATCGTCAACGACCTCCACTGATAATGCATATGCGACCATGACATCATTATACCTAGCTGGCCGACGAATCTCTCTCCTCGGTCTATCTGCTGTAATGGACCTCTGAACATGACCCTGTTCATGAGTCCCATGATCCACTATATCCTGTATCTGCCCGGCTGTTATCTCATCTCCTCCCAGTGTCACCTCTGTAGGAGCCTCAATGGATACAGTGCTCTCTGGAGTGGGTGGAGTCACATCATCCTCCACCTGCTACGATATCTCTCCTGTCTGGTCTCCCTCCACCTGCTGAGGGGCTCGAGGCCTCATCTTGAAGCCTTTGACTCTATCTCTAAATCCCACAAAGACTGCTTTCCTCGCTCTCGGATTTAATTTACCATCACTGACATGATAATAAGCTGGACACCCGAATATCCGAAGCGACTCATAGTCACTAGCCACCGAACCAAACCAACGCTCCAAAGGAGTCTTCCCATCTATCGCAGTGCACGGCAACCTGTTCACGAGATGGCTCGCATAAACTACTGCCTCGGCCCAAAAAATCTAGGCAATCCACTCTGTGTCATCATACACTGCACCTTCTCCAGCAAGGTACGGTTCAATCTCTCAGCCACCCCGTTCTGTTGCGGTGTCTCTCGAACTGTGAAGTGTCTTCTAATGCTGTAATCCCAGCAAAACTGCAGAAACGGATCACTCTTGTACTCTCCACCGTTATCTGAACGTAGAGTCTTCACCTTTCTACCTGTCTGCAGCTCCACTTTCTTCTTCCACTCTACAAAAATATCTAGGACCTGATGTTTATGCTCCATCGGGTATACCCAATTCCTCCTGGAATAATCATCAATGAAAGTGATAAAATAGTTGGCCCCACCAAGAGATGTGT